CATTCAAGTTTCAAAGATGAACAGTGAAATAGAAGTATCTTGCTACCTAAAAGTCACCGTTCAACGATATAAATGTTCTTTTCCTGCTACTGCAACCGTGTCCCACACCTCGATCAACTTGCAACCTCAACTCACACGGGAACAAAGGCTCCGCGCAAACAAGACGTCATTATAATGTTCTCAACATATATCTCCACCCCTATAAATAACCCCTCTACATACATTAGTAGTAATGTTACAGCAATTAAGAATTGATTATAATTATCAATTAAATAAAATAGGGATGACGAGGATAGCAATAGCGAAGAGAGATAAGGAAACGAAAAGCTGTAAACAGATAAGGATAGCATTAGGAGAATCATTAACAACTCATTATTTACCAAGGTTTTTGTGAACTTTTAGAGTTGACGAATGAAGTGTGGACCTTCAGCAACATTCTCATATAGATTTTAGTGCTCTAAACCCTTTCAATAATTAGTTGTTAACAATTTTAGTACGCGATGTCGGGAACGATACCGGGTATTTTTACGGTTTTTCAATAATTTCACAGCTTTCTACTAAATTCTCGTACAATCAAGTAGATGTGTCTGAAAGCTAACTCCTTTAGATACATTTTCATATAATTTTTATTAACACATCTCTAGTGGTTTAATAGTTATTTAACATTCTTTAGGTGAGTATTACACCCGTCGTTTTCAAGCGTAACACATTTTCATTATTGCAATGGAAATGCCGGATAAATTATGCACTTTCAGGAGTGTAGAATGTAGAATGGATCTTTCTCTATATTCTTCAATTATTTTGGTAGCTGTAAGTAGTATGGTTTATTAGATATTAGCAATTGTTTGTAACACTTGACTATACACCAGTACGACCAAATGCGGACTCTCCCCTATAATGTTTAATAACTCGTAAACTAAATCGAATATGTTAGGAAGACTTGTAGAAGAATCTAGCTAATGGAATTGCCTTTCATATACATATAGTTACTTACATGAGAATTTAGTAGAAAGCTACGAAATTATTGATAAACCGTAAACGTATATAACCGTAAACGGTACCGTTTCCGTCATCCCGTCCTAAAATTGTTAATAACTAATTATTGAAAGGGTCTAGAGTTCTAGAAACTATATGTGAAAGTTGCTGAAGATCCACACTTCATTCTTCAATTCTAAAAGTTCACAAAATCATCGTAATTAATGAGTTATTAGTGATTTTTCACCGGCCGACTTGATGTAATGTCTGAATGTCGGCTCGCTGGCCAATGGGAAACGTTTTCTCTCTATCCTTCTCGCACAGTAGTGCGTTCCTTGTCTAATACCTCTGTTCACATTCTGTGTTCCTAGTAACGAGTTGTTAGTTCGCGCAGCCAAACACGAGATGGCGTTATTTATTTTTGAAAATTGTCTATCCTTGTCAAACCTTATTCCTTTCCTTGTCTAACTCATTTCTCTATGTAGTGCTATCCCTTCACGTATTCCTTTCCTTGTCTTACTCATTTCTGTATTACTAAATACGTCGACGAGTTATCTTTCGTGGTAAGCACTACTGATAGTACATCACCATCTTCCAATAAGAATTACGCAAAAATTAATCACACAAATCAATTAAAATATTTCACATTAATCACACAAAATTTCTACTATACACTGAAATAAAAAATAACAAAAATTATGAAGTTTCAATAACTTAAGATGCGTATCCATTCATTGCATATCCATCTATTGATACGCATCTTAAGATGATTGATTTACTTACCCTACAATTAATAATATATAATACCCTAAAATTATAATTATTAGTTTTGTTATTTAAACCACTTTTAGCTGTAAAAATATAAGACTAATATTATGATCCCCGTATTTATATCAAGTCATTTATACTACGTATAACTAATATAAATATGTCACAATAA